CTTTCTCTATCTCTCTCCACAAACTGCCCAAGATTATCGCCGCTCAATTTCGGTTAGTTACTCCCTCCTTCTTTCTCTTCTTCTCCCTCTCCCTCTCCCTCTCCCTCTCCCCTTCATATTCACAAATCGGTATTAACAACCCGTCGTTCACCCTTTCTCCCCTGCGTATTCTCTCTCTCTCTCTCTCTCTCTCTCTCTCTCTCCAAATCAGCGCCAGGAGAAAGAAACCAAGTTGTTTTTTTTCACCAGTTCAGCGCAAATTCAATGGGATGAATTTGGAAGAATCGGGTATGTTTGCATTGTCATTTTGAATAGTAAAACGACTTGGTAGTGTTTGGTCCATGATCTTTGTTGATTACATTTAGTTCAATGTGTTTTGGGATCTGATATTCCTAAGTTACAAATACAAGCCTTTAATTGTGATTTTCCTAAGTTACAAATGCATGCCTTCAATTTTGATGCTTCTAAGTTAAAATACATGCCTTTAATCGTGTTAATGTTTTGTGAAGTTATTTTAGCCTATAAGCATTGCGCGATATTTGTGTAATTTTAAGAAATTTGTTGAAATATCTTTTGATTATCTCTGCAACTGACTAGGTAGTCTTTGAAGTTATATTTATAGCCCTCTTTGGAGCACTTAACTACTAGATTCGGTATTTGGTGGTTTTGATTCTTGACAGACTTTTTTGGTGGAAAACGTAGAGCTCCTCTAAAAATTAGTTGAGTTGACTAAAAGACTGCTGCTAAGTACTCTGGCTATCCATTTATCTTGGTTGGCAAATCCATGGTTTCAAGGTAATGCTTACAAAAAATTTCAGTTCTAGAACAAAGGCATTTTGTGACGGGATCATCCAAAGTATTGCTAATAATAACCTTAAAAGTGAATCCATGCTTTATCCAACCTACTAAAATCTAAGAAAACATGGCATCTTTGGTTCATTTCCGTGAAAGTTGTATCTAAAATAACTCTAATTTAGGGTGAATTAACAAAAGAATTGTATAACGATGTTGTATGGGAATCAATGTTAGTAAGATTAATTATGTTACTGCTTATTTTGTTTGTTACTTTTTTTTACAATAACGGAAAATTAGAAATACCATTAAACTCATCATTTTATGTCATACTTCCATGTGAATGCTATTATGAAAAAAGGATATGTATAGTAGCAAAATTGAGAAGATAGAATACGAAAAAGAAGGATAGACACAAAGTTGAAGGCATTTAATACATTTGTTTTGGCAGGAATGTGTAGGTTCAACTGCATGGTTGTTGGTGTGGAAGACATTGGCACTTCTGCTATACTTCATTTGGGGTACCTGTTAAAGGTGTGTCATTATATATACATTTCACTTTATGTTTTGATTCTTCTACTTTCTCCAAGCATTGGTTTCAAACTTAAGAACATACAAAATTTTTGGAATAGTTGCTTTTTTTATTTCATATGACACACCTTATATTCTGGTGGAATACATGTTGTTTTTGTATTAAGCCAGCTCTGCACTAGTCTTAGAATCTGTTCTTTAGCATTTTTATCTATTGCATTTTCAAAAGGCAATTTTCAAATCGATGTTGACTGTAAATAATATATGCTGATAGTTGAAAATCTTTAGGGGAAGTTCTTTGAATTTGATGGATCAATTTGGACCTTGTGCAGTCCAGAAAGTTGTATGTTATTTTTTTATCCCCTCGAATCATACATGTGATTCATGGTCACTTTTTAACCATAAAAAAGATATTCTACTTAACAAAACTCCTGATGGGTCTCCATGCTAATTACTTAGGAATGAAGTTCTTGAATCCGTGACGCTCTCTAGAGCAGTACACAGTGTAAGTTCCAGAGAGGAAAAACAGTGCTTCTATTTGTGAAATCTGTTCATCTATTTTGCCCGTAATGTTTTTATCTCTGCTATATGAACTCTTGAATGCATGAATCATCTGAATCTATGAAAACTTGAAATTGGTCAATTAGGTTCTCTTTGTCCCAATTAGCCTATTTTTTTATCAGACGAGTTGACGATGATCAGAATTTTTTTTTCCCTTCAAAATCCAAGTCTCCTTGTTAATGAACATGCTGATTTTCAACTTTATGCATGTTGTGACCTTTTGTTCCATAGGTGATAGGGCTTAGTTTCTTGCATCGGTTTTTTCGTGCTTCCTTCTTCATTGCAATTATGACAAAGGTTTTCAGATCTTACTGAACTCAACATATAGAGCCACTAGCTCACTTGGTATAACTAAAGGTGATGTGGGCTTCAACTGAATATAGAGATGGACATAAGCATAGAATCGAGAAGCTAATAACAGTGTAAAACTTTATAATGGAACAGTTTCTTCATTTTTATCGTATAAACCTATGATCTTTCCTTTGCTTTTCCATTTTAACTCTGGGTGAATAATTCTGTGTGCATGTACCCATCAAAATAGACAAACTGTTTGCTTATTAAAATAGGCCAATTGTTTTATCTAACTTTGAAGATTGCCAGGTTGCCGCCTTCGGACAGGGCTGTCAAATTCTACTCAACTTCCTGGTCCAAACTATCACTGCGGTGCGGTAAATCACAAAACAACAATATTCTATCCCACTTTGTTTTGTGGCCCATGATTTGGTACAACCTTAATTTTGTGGTTCCAATTTTAGTGTATACTAGCATTTATCAATCTTAGGTGATTAGCAGAATTCAGTTTACTTTGCTTATTAAACTAGGCCAACTGTTTTATATAATAGGATTCGAAGCTTGCCATGTTGCCGCCTCCGGAGAGCATGTTGGAAATCTTGTGAATAGGTATTTTTTTTAATTGATCATACACTAGTTGGATTCATCCGGTTAGTAATTGGATGTATTAAGTTGTAGATCAAAGCATAAGAACTTGATGGAATTCCTTTCCGTCTTGTTTGATTTTTTTTTGGGGGGGGGGGGGGATTAATTGTTACTTTATAACAGCTTGCACTCACTACAACAAAAATCATTTTTTGCAATATTTCTTTTTCATCGTGTGTTTGTCACAATAGCCTCGTCGCAAAAATTATCTCGTGACGCAAATTTGTTTTCGTCGCAAAAAAATAGAAAGCATCGCTAAAATTTTAAAAACGTCACTAAAATCTATTCCACTAGCATAAAAAAATATTAAATCATAATTTAATTAATTTTTTGTGACGTAAAAAAAATCATCGCAAATAAATTTTTTCATAAATAAAAATATAAAAAATAATAATTTAATTAATTATTCGTGACGTAAAAAAAATTGTGGAAAATAATTTTTAACATAAATAAAAATGTAAAAAATAATAATTTAATAAATTTTTAGCGACGTTAAAAAATCGTCGCAAAATTTTTTTTTGTAAATAAAAAATATAAAAACTAATAATTTAATTAATTTTTCATGAAGTAAAAAAATCGTCGTAAATAATTTTTACATAAATAAAAAATGTAAAAAATAATAATTTAATTAATTTTAGAGATGTTAAGAAATCGTCGCAAATATTTTTTTTATAAATAAAAAATATAAAAAATAATAATTTAATTAATTTTTCGCTACATTAAAAAATCGTCACAAAGAATTTTTTACATAAATAAAAATGTAAAAAATAATTGAATAAATACATTTGCGACGTATAAAAGTCTTCGCGAAAAAGATTGTTCTTATAATTTTTCACAATGATTTTAATTTCGTCACAAAAATTTTTTTTTTTTAAAAAAATAATATTGCAATAAAATTTTTCATCTGTACACTAATAATCCCCGTGTTTAATAAAAAACTAACACAATTAATATATTTCACATCTTTCATTCAATAACGAACACAAACTAAAATCAAATATCATACTAACAAAAATATAAAATATAATACACTTAATAAAAGTTATACAAATCATCAAAATATCCAACATAATCTACATACAAATTTCCCAAAATATTTTAATATATAACTAAAAGATAATTCGTAAGTCACTTTAATGTAGAAATCCAGAATTCATCATTTACCAAAAAAAAATATATATATACAGTAATAAATTATCAATCAAATTTTAAAAAGTATCATGGACGCATTATGCCTGGACTGCACCATGGGAGCATCAGCTCCAATCAACATGGAAATATGTAGAACAAAAATTGGAAGGAGACCATAATCTTCACTGCCAGCTAACAACCTCTTTAGGAAAATGAACACAATTTGCTCTTTTAATAACTTCTCCCCTACATGAAAAACGGTGACAATATGCAAAGGTCACTCCAATAGACAGAAAACAGAATATTTCAACACTGAGTCTACTATATAGTCTATATTCCTTCAAGAACACATTTTAAATAACTCATTTAACAAAGAACAGAACTTACATGTCCCCTCCTTCACAATATCCTATAATGATGCACACATAGCAATCCTGAACATCATGACATCAACTTGTCAATGGCACAGCAGAACAAGAATCGTTTAAAAATGGATTTCTCAAAAGTTATGAGACACAAAACATCATACCAAACAAATTTAAGGCTTCAAAAAGAAGCAAAAAACTTGAAAAAATGAAGCAAATTTAACTGATCTAGCAGAATATCAAGTAAACCCCTATCATCTTAGGTCCATATATAGATATGTTAGATCTGATGTGCCTAAAAGCAGGAGCTTCAAAAAACCATATAGTGCTAGTAAATGGGAGCATATGGATCAGCTACTAAGCACTGAATAGATCATGGTTCTGCAACAGATAAGTATAGCTACTGGATTATGAGATGCTTAAGAATAAGTTTTGCATTTGGAAATGATCTATTTTCATTTTTCACAAGAAAATGCTGCAACACTAACTGAAAAGTTGCATACGGGGAATTCTCTTTGTCAGAATAAATAACTGAGAGCAGCAATCATCAGCACCATCTCCCTCTTTACCATAAGCTAGAGACTAAAACTAACACAGGATTTTTTGGCTACACATAGGTTGCAAACTTGCAAGTTGGTCCAAACACCAATGATGCATTTGGGAATGCAGGAGTTAATATCTCACTCTTTCCACAGTAATGCAGGGGTAACCAATGATGCATTCATGTTAAATTCATGGTCAACTATGCTAAAAGCATCCTTTCCACTGTCACAACATTTATTGTAATTAACACACTCTCCCAAAAGTACTGCCGCCAGTCCCCTTATACACACCGTTGAGGTTGGGTTTGATATTAACTCAAGCAAATATGTCAGGTGAGGAGGTGAATCTAGGAAGCACTGCACAGCACTTGGGCAATCGGAGAGCCAAATGATTAGCAGTTTCAGGATAGTTGGCTCCACATACAAAATCCCCGATGCACTTGATTTTGCATCTTTCTTGTTCATTGAAGAGGCAAGTGCCAAGTACTTCACCATACGGTGCATTAAAGGTTCTGAGCCCCCTAATGAGGGCATAGGTGCTTCAAGTTCAATTCTTAGAATCTGCAGCAAGTTCTATGTTACACTCTAAAACAAGAGAGGCAGGAAAAATCTAAAGCCTCAAACCTAGCAAACCAAAATGCTGAGCATTATTTTCAAGAACAAGAGTGATCAAAACATATCTGATCCTATTAGTAGACTAAGTAGGAAGCATAGAAATGAGGATTTGAGATTCATACCCTTTCCTTGCACTGGATATTATCCTCGAGTACATGAGAAAGAACACTGGCAGCTCTACAACAAGTCTGCAATTCAAAAAATTTAGCTGGACAATTCTCACACAGACAAAAATTTATGAGCCTACAAATGTATTACTTAGAATATCCAATGGTGATTGAGGGCTTAAGACACTCAAAACTGAGACAAGAAGCCATGAAACTAATAGAACACCAACTGTCCAAAGATGGGACTCAGGATGGAGTCCAGTTAGACAGGGCAGTATCCTCATTCCCAATGGAAAAAAAAACCCATCTGTCTCCCCTTGTCTAAATGCTAAAATGTAATATGTAAATGTAACACATTACCTAAGATCACCATCATTTTCACTCAAGGTAAGACCACGCAATAGCATGCTGCCAAGAGAATAGATTACTAGAAGATTTAATTATTATTATTATTATTTTTTTTTTAACAAAATAAAATTTTATTTATTCCTAAAGCAAACCATTACAAGAAGCAAAAGAAAAGGCACAGACCACCTTTTCATAACAAAACAAAAAGAAAGGCACATACCACCTTTTCATAACAAAACACAAGTTCCAGCCAAACAAAACAAAGAAGATATTCATACTCACTAAAGCCAAACTAAGTCCAAGATCCTTTTGTACTGCTCCCCTTTCCAACCAATCCCGAATAAGCCCAGCACAAAGCGTCAGTCAAATAACAACCAAAGTAAATTAACCCATATCATCAAAAACCAACATCTTTTTTTTCCTAGGCAAATGCAGCCCTCCCACATCCCTATTTAATGCCAATTTCACCTCAAAAGGCAACTCCAGACCTCCAGAATAATCAAAAGAACTTCTGCTCTGCACTGCTTGATTTGCAAGCCCATCCGCAACACTGTTAACCTCTCTGAAAATGTGATACAACTGAAATTCCACACCCCTCAACAAACTCTTAATCTCATTCAGCAAACATAAAGAAGACCATGGACAATCACATAATCCCAAAACTGCATTCACCAACACCTGGGAATCACATTCAATCACCAATTTACAGTCAAACAAGCCATGTTTCTTAATCAATAACAAACCATCCAAAAGAGCTCTAAACTCAGCAACCATGTTTGAAAACTCTCCATAAAAGAAACATGCTGCCAATACCATCCTACCCCATTCGTTTCTCAACACAGCACCCCCTCCTGCAGTTCCAGAATTATTTCTGGAGGCTCCATCAGTGTTTAGTGTCAAGCATCCAGCAGAAGGCATTTCCCATGTAACCCAAATCACTTTATTCATTACCTTGCAAGAAGACTCAATTCTCAAAAACTCTAGGAAAAGCTTCCCAGAGAAATCATCTTGTCTTCTGGGTCTGATAATTTTAGCTTGATATCTAAGAATACTACAAACCTTCACAAAAATAGAATAGGAATGCAGCTTACCCTCTCCAGCAACTCTCCTACACCTCTCCTTCCAAATTTGCCAAAAAATTAATAAGGACAAACTTCTAACCAAGCAATGGCTCAAAGAATGCCTTTTAAAAATTCTACATAATCTTCTCAACCTCACCAAAGGACTTTCATTCCTCAGAAGTTGTGTTGGAAACCTCCTACCACAGAGAACTTATCCCAGATAACCTTAGCATAATCACATTCAATGAAGATATGCTCAACAGTTTCCACATCATGAAAGCACAAACTACACCTGCTGGCAAAAGAAACCCCTATCCTCATGAAGTTGGACTCAATAGGCAAAGCACTTCTTAACTGCTTCCATCCAACAAGTTGACCACTAGGAGCAGTAACAATTTTCCAAATAATCCCAGCCATATCATTAACCACTCCCTTACTTCTAATCAAATGCCAAGCTGTTTTGATAGAAAAATCACCAGAACTAGTCCCCTGCCAAATTAATTTATCCCTCAGATCTGACAGAACAGTACTACAATTCACCACCTCAGCCCTCAACTGATCAGTCAACAAATCCCCAAAACCATCCAGCTGCCATTGAGAATTCTCTATCAACTCATGCACACTCGGAAAATATTGAGGTAGAACCCCAATCCTACTCAACAAAACACCCTTCCCTGACCAATTATCACTCCAAAAATCACAACTCATACCATCCCCAACCAATATTCTAGAGTAATTCACCACTTTCTCAAAATACGGTCTTAAAACCTCAAAACACATTGAATGCCTTTTTCCCAAGCACCTCATTATATGCTTCCCCCTTAAAATATTCCGAACCTGCTTCATTTGGATTGCAGCCTGGACCTCTTCAAAATTCCGCAAACCCAAACCACCCTCCACCTTGGGTTTAGTAATCTTACCCCAAGCCACCCAATGTCGTCTTCTCACATCCAATTTATTTGACCATACAAAACCAGCCATTAATGAATTTAGCTTGGAAATTACAGTCTTAGGCAAGTTCAAACAAGCAATCAAATGCACTGGCACAGCACATAACACATAATGCACCATCAACACCCTACCCATATTCGACAAAAGCTTAGCGTACCAACCCTCTAGCTTTTGTCTAAACTGCAACAACAACCCCTCAAAGTATCAAACTCTAATTCTACCTTGAAAAATTGGGCATCCCAGATAAGTAAAAGGACAGCTCTTAACTGGAATATTAGCCATACTAGATAAAGAACATTTCCTTGCAGCCGAGATCCATTGAGAGCAAAACATAGAACTTTTCTGCAAGCTAATCCTCTGCCCAGAAGATCCCTCATATTCTTTCAAAAAAACCAAAAGATTATTCAAAGATCTCTTGTCACCCCTTAAAAAAATTAAAATATCATCAGCGAACAATAAGTGACTCACCAGCATAGTACCTCTCCCCATATGAAAATGCTTGACCAAACCATCCTGAAAAATCTTTCTCAACCCCCTACTGAGGACCTCTTCTGCAAGAATAAAAAGACAAGGAGACATAGGATCTCCCTGTCTTAAACCCCTAGAGGATGAGAAAAAACCCCTCCTTACTCCATTGACACAAACAAAAAAAAATTGGTTTCCCAAGCAATTAGCCACAATTTTACAAAAAAGAGGGGAAAAACCAAAACTAGCCAAAGCTTTCAACAAAAAATCTCATTCAAGGCGATCATATGCCTACATCATATCTAATTTCAGAATCAAATTACCACCTTCCACTTTCCTATTCAAGTCACTGACCATCAGCTGAGCAATAGACACACATTCACCCCCATTTCTACCACTAACACATTGCTCCACAGAGATCAATTCAGGCAAAATATTGGCCAGTCTAGAAGATAACTACTTCGTGAAAATTTTGTAAAGGAAATTACATAAACTGATAGGTCTAAATTCAGAGAATGATCTGGGATTAACTGTCTTAGGAATCAAGGCCAACAAAGTAACATTCACTGACCTAGGCATACTTCCCCCTTGTAGGAAAAAATTCACTGCTTTTACCACATCCTCAGCAATCACACTCCACGCAGCATGAAAGAAGCCTCCAGACAAACCATCTGCACCTGGAGAACTATGCGCTGACATAGAAAACACCACACTTTTCACCTCCTCCAAAGAAGCTTCCCTCAAAAGCTCAGAATTCTGATTATCATTGATAAGGGAAGGAATAACAGCAAACATATTTTCTTGAATCTGATGAGGTTTCGAACTATACAACTCAGAATAAAATTCTTCAGCAACTTGCCCAATCAATTCCTCAGAATTCACCCATTCTCCTGCTTTATTTTGGATTCTATAAATTCTGTTTCTTACAGCCTTGCCCTTGGCTATAGCATGATAAAAACTCGTATTTTTCTCCCCATGCACTGCCCATTTTAAGTTAGCTTTTTGTCTCCAATAAATCTTTTCCAGCCTCAACATGCCATCCAACTCACCTCGGACTTTCTCAAGCAAAAGGATATTATCAAGAGAATTACATTGCTCCACCATGATCTCAGCAAAACTCAACTCAATTTCCTTAGCCTTTTTATTTTCAAAGATATTACCAAAGACTTCCTTATTCCACTTTTTCAAATGAAACTTCAAATACTTCAACTTCAAGAAAACATTCTCAATTGGATTTTGAGAATAAAACCCAGACCATTTCTCTCTTACCAAAGGCAAAAAACCAGAATTTTCAACCCACATATCCTGGAATTTAAAGTACAAAATCTTTTGATCAAAGGAATCAAGCAATTTAATCAATAAAGGAGAGTGATTAGACCTACCACGAGCCAAGTGCATTACTTTTGTTCTACCTAGAACCCTTCCCCAATCAGCATTCAAAAACACCCTGTCAATCCTCTGCCACATTCTCCCATTCCCCTGCCAATTATTACACTATGTAAAACAACTCCCCATAAAACCCCCATCCATCAGCCCAGCATTATACACAAAATCATTAAATTCTCCCATAGACACAGTCGATGGAAATGCACCACCCAACCTCTCTTCAGAATGCAAAATAGCATTAAAATCCCCTACAACCATCCATGGACTAGATAGAGGCAAGTCCAAGTCCAATATATGCGACCACAATTCCCTCCTCACCACATGCTCACAATTTGCATAAACTATAGAAATAAAAACAGCAGCAGAGCCCATATAAGAAACCTCCACAGTTAACGCCTGCACATGCTCAGCCACAACTCTAACACTTACCCTATCATCCCACAATACCCAGATATATTTCTCTGCCAAACCATTCACCATAAAATTATTCATATTAACACTGGAAGCAACCGCGACCTTGACTTAGAGGCCAATGAGACACATCGGTCGCGGCGCGGTATCGGCCGATACGCGCAAAACACTATATAAAAGGCTCAAAAAAATTTGAAAAAAATAGAAAAAATTATAATAAATGTAAGCATCATCATCAATGCATCATATCCCTAAAAGACATTATTTAACACATTAATCATTTCAAAAAAGAATAATAAGGATGCTACCAAAAAATATTTATTATCATCTATATTCAAGGTTAATATAATTTAATTTGTAATTTTTAAAAATTATAAAAAAAAAAATAAGTGTATAATTCTTCATTTAATTATTTATAATGTATCTGATTAGATCGATTGTATGTATATGTATTTTATGTATGATGATTATATGTATTTTCTCCATTATGTACATTTAATTATTAAATCATCAATACATATACAAAAACAAACTTAAGAAGTTAAGTTCTCATTAAATTATATGATAAATACTAAAAATTATATAATTAAAAAGCTTGGGCTAAAACCAAAAAAAACAAAAAGAAGGGGGGAGGGAATTAAATTTTTGGGTCTCATAAGGCAAAGCCTCAACCCACCGACTCTCAGACAGTCGGACTTCGACCAACGCAAAGAGAGAGAGAGAGGGAGAGAAGAGAGGAAGCACAGAGACGATGGGTCTCTGCTACTCGAGACTCATCGTCGTTGAAGCTGGATCTCTTGCTACTCGAGTAGTCCGATCGTCGAGCAGCCTAGGGTGACTTCGACCAACGCAAAGAGAGAGAGAGAGGGAGAGAGAGAGAGGAAGCACAGAGACTATGGGTCTCTGCTACTCGAGACTCATCGTCGTTGAAACTGGATCTCTTGCTACTCGAATAGTCCGATCGTCGAGTAGCCTAGGGTTTCTGCAATTGATCCGCGATGTTGATCGTTGATCCACTGTTTCTGTACTGGGGTCCTTTACTACTGCAAAGAAAAAGAAAAGTAGGAACAATTAGTGTAAAAGGGTCTCTGATTGGGGAGATTTACCACAAATTTTCAGGTCTGTGGTCTATTTGTTCTTCTTTTGTTTTTATTATGGTGAAAGAGGTCTGATTTAGGGTTCAATTCCTCTTCTTTTTTGCCTTTTTTTTTGGCATTTTCTTTATTGTGCGTATTAGGTCGATTTGAAAGTGAATCGGCTGAGTTTGTCCGAGTTGGGTCGAGTTTGTCCGAGTTGGACTGAGTCAAATCCAAGTTTGTACGAGTTGGCCCGAGTCAGAACCGATTCATGGTAGACTCATGATAGTCTTGTATCGTGTATCATTATCGTATCGCTGCCTGTCGAGGCAGATACGACTCGGCCGAATTGTATCCGGCTCGGTCGATACTTTGAACCTTGGGAAGCAAGGCCTTGTAATTTCTGTTTCTCCATTTTTGGTTCCAAAATCGCAGCCATACACACCCCATACACCCTTAATAACTTTTTTAATCTCCTTCTTTGGACAAGTTTGCCAGCACCTCTCATATTCCAAGACAAGAAACTAATCATGGACATAAACAAACATCAAATACGAATCAGAAAACTAAAGGAGACAATAAGAATTACTTCTCCCCCATCGAAAGTGTCAAAGAAAAATCCACAAAACAGAAACAAGATTCTCAGGCAAATTTTGGAATTCTACCCACATCAAAACCCCACCACTAAACTCAATTCCCCTCTCAGACAGAAAAATAATATCAATATATTTAGACATTCTCACCAAAACAGAGCATAAATCGCTCTCAAAATCAGAATGAATCTCTAAGTGGATAAATAAAACAATTTGAGATAGAAACCAGAAAACATAAAGCTCTGTAAGAATCAATACTATTCCAGAAATGAAAAAAAACACCCTTCCAATCCTCCTTCTCTTTAAATACTTAGAAATCTGCAAAACACCAACCGACCCCAAAACTTCTAGAAGTAACCCATTCAAATTCCAATCCAACTGGACAAACATTCACAAACAGACCCCAAACAGGGATCAACTAAACCTGCCAGTCCGAACAGACAGTCAAAAACATCCATCCTAACACAAAATCCTTAATCTTCTTGAGCATCTGACTAACTGAAAAGCCAGTCAAACTCTCTCCAAAACCACCCCCATGTTAATAAATTAATCATGAAGAACAGATAGATCATTCCCCCCCAGCCTCGGCCTATTTTCCACCTCTGCAGAAGAGAATTCAATAGAGACTGCGTTAGAGTCATCAGACCCCTCACTATTTGCTACCACTCTTTGCATCATCTCTTTACTTCTCATTGTACTTTCTGTATCAGAACAATACCCCTTGCCAGGAGGTTCTCGATTTCTAAATAATCCTCTGTCATCATTAAGAGTGACAGAGGCACCACTTCTAGTAGCAAATCTCTCCACACAAAAGGAAATTCCAGAAAGAGAAATCAGCTTATTAAAACCACAATGTTCATTGCCTCCACGCACATTCCCATAAATACCTTCTTGAAAATCTTCCTGTCCCCTTACCATATTCAAATCACTCACTAGGGCCAAGCCCCTGTTAACAATCTGAGTCCTATTTAGCGAACCAGTCTTATCCCATTGAGGATCCAGAGAACCCACCTCAACATTTTGTATCAAAGAATCATTTGCTAGCCCCGAAGAAACACAAGGCACCCCTTCAGACACAACACCTCCAACCATATAGTCTGTATCAAACACATTTCCTTCCTCCACAACCTTCTCTGCAATCTTCAATAATTTCCTCTGTAACACGAATTGGATCAATAGAAAAAACCACACCCTCACCAACAGGAATCAGACCTGGTAACACCACCCCTTCATTACTAAAACCAGAAGCTATACTAACCAACTCCACAGCCTCCCCCTCTAGTTCATTTGACTTCTTAGACAAATCTCCCTCATTACCAGAGCTAACATTATCTTTCTCTGCAATAATACTCTGCTTCTGTTGAGCATTATCATCTTTTTTTGAATGATCCCCTCTGAGCAGAGTAAACAAATTTCCATCTATTTGCACAAGTGAGCTCTCTCTTACATTTGACATCCCCTTACGCAGTGTTATTTAAGGCGTAAAGCGAACCGAAGCGACCAAGGCTTCTAACGCCTAGGCGAGAAGCGAGAAGCGAAGTGACACGCTTTACCGAAGCAAAGCGAACAGTTAAAAAATATATATTTTAGTTTAATTACTTCTAAACAATCTAAGTTCTAATTTTATATATACTAAATATTTAAATGCAAGTAAAACCATAAACATTTAAATTAAAACAAACATTAATAATATCTCATATGTTAATAACAGTTATAACTTAAATATTTAAATTCAAATAAATACTAACAATTGTATACATTTTCATATTGACAGGGTAGGATAACAAAAGAAGCGGAATCAGGACAGCAGCAGAATCAGCAACAAAAAAAAAAAGCATAATGAGGATAAAAAAAAACAGAAGCAGCACAGGACAGCAAAACCGAAGCAGCAACAGAATCAACAAAAAAAAAAATAGAAGCAGAATGAGCTAAAAAAAAAAACAGAAGCACAATGATCATGACAGGAGCAGAATCAATTGTAAACAATTTCATATGTAATTATGTACTGAATAAAAAAAGCAAAACAGAGGCACATTTCACATGTACCAAAATAATTAAACATGGTATAAGCATAGACCACTTTTTGGTACTATTTGTACATATATGAGAAAAGGGAAAAGTATAACCAAGACATATCAGAGATACTTATTTGTAGAAGACTATTATTTACCCCCATTTCTGATACTACTGCTTCCTTTCTTTATCATAATTTTGTCATGCAGTCGCCTGATTCCCACATCCCACAAATATTCTAAATGAATTCAACAACACAAAGAAAAAAAAGGAATGTGTTTTGTTCGGAACATTGCTTATCAGGAAAAAAAAAATAGACCAGCGATAGTCTAAAAAAAAGTCATCAGTGATTAAAAAATAAAAGAGACTACTAACCTGTGATCAAAAAAAAAAAAAAAAAAAGGGAGCAGAATCGCCTTTTATAATAAAGCGTTCGCTTTTTTCGCTTTTTCTCGCTTTTTTCTCACTTCGCTCACGTTCACTTTGCCTGGGGTCCTCCAGGCGAGATAAGCTCACCTCGCCTCGCCTCGCTTCTCGCTTGGGCGAGCTTTTCAAAACACTGCCCTTACGAGGAACAACACTCTTCCCTTTCACAATCTGCCATTCTCTATCATTCTTACCCCCATACATCTCTTTTTGAGTCTCTGTAACAACAGACTTTTTACCCTTTACATCATCACCTTCCTTACCATCATCTTTGTCTCCCTTCCCCAATACCTTCCTTCTACAATCCAAGTCTATATGACCCTGCTTCAAACACTTTTTACAATATTTAACTCTTTTTTCATATATAATTTTCTGCCATCGACCACTTGTACCCCCCAAATCCAACCAAAATCTGGAAGGATTATCAGCCAATAGGTTAAACCTCAACACAAGCCCTAGCCACTCTCGGCCTAATCAACTGTAAGGTAGAATTATCTATCACTAGAATTTTCCCAATTGGGTTTAGAATATCATGCAAACTATCACAATTAAAAGGTGAATTGGCAGACCAGGTAATGACACCCAAATCGGAACCACTGGTGGTTCAATTCCTGGCAAGAATTCCGGAAACCATTTGAAAAAACGGAATAGAAAGCCCTCAATATAGGCCATGTCCTTTAACCAGGTTTTCACATAATCTTCATATAGTTCAAACCTAATCAATACATATCTGGGATCTAGAATACCAACCGAAAAATTCCCTTTAGGTAGCCATCTCGTAGTAATAAACTCACGAATCACACCAAGCGAAGGTTTACCATGTGCACATTTACCGATTAGGGTTTGTTGAAAACCTTTCGAGAGCTCCATAGTCTCAGCCTCAGACCAATACATCCCGGGCTCTCCATTGTTAAACACCACCTTCTTGGCTGGGCGACAAGTTGAAGCAGAAGGAACAGGAGAACCATTAGAGATATTAGTAGGATCATTACCCAAGTCATGACCCTTATCAGAACATCCAATCAAACTCGAAGGAATGGTAAAGAGATATGCAAAATCTCTTTTTGGTTGTAGGTTTGTACTATACATACAATTCACGCATTTAAATATTTTACATCTTATTATGTAGTTAAATTTTTTTTTAAATGTATAGATGAGATGTTACATTTTCGGAGCAGCACACACCCCCGGCATGTACTACGTTACTATCGGGACCAGATGCGCGAGGATCAAAAATATCAGCTTGACCATGATTAGAGAACTCGGATGTTATTTGTTTAAGTTTGTTAGTGTGTTGGGTTGATTGCAACATGTGAAGTAAATGCATGTGGAAATGGTGGGATGTTATTTTCATTTGTTTAAACTTGTGATTGAGGTGGGTTTGTTTATACTTGTGATTGAGTTGGATTTATTGTATACAGGTAAAATTTTTTTGGAAATGTCTAATTTTCAAAGGAGACTCTGCCCAATTTTTTTAAAAATACCTTTAAATTTATTTATGAGTGTTCAAAATTTGTATTACAGATGATATGAGAGCTGTATACAACTGATGTACTGGGTGGCCTGCCAGATTATTGCCTTATTAGGCAAGATATTTGGCGCACATGAGCACCATTGATTTGCTTCGATGTCGTCGAGTGGCATTTTCTAAATCGGGTTATTCGACAGTTTGGCCTAATTCAGCGCATTCCACCGCCATGCAATATCAGTTGGGCCTTGCATGCTGTCAACCGTCGAGGTAGATCTGGTCGGGATTGGTCAGTAGTTCATCAGATCTACACAGAGATGTGGGGACATCGTAGAGATACTATCGTTACCGGAGATCTGAGTACTGGACCAATGAATCCGACCGACGCATACATGCAATGGTATCGTCGGATCAAACGATGTCTTGTTGGTCCACCCATCGGTAGGTCGACTGTCAATTTTCAGCCTGTTGGGAGCATCATAGAGCTTCTGGTAAGATGTTGAATGCTTATCTATTAAATTTGAAGTGATAATGTTACAAACTATTTAATACATTTATAATATTTTTGAAATATTTTTTGTAGGAACAGACACTTACACAGAGATATCACACTGGACTTACTACATATGAGGGTAGTCCGGACTTTGCATGTACCATGGACACCATTGGGCGTATGACAGATATGAGCTCATCGTGTTTGACAGCTTTTCGAGAGCACCGAAGACTTGACACAGCTTCAGTACCGTCTACATCTGCACAACCACCTCCTCATCATTATCGAGATTCGAGTAGTCCATTATATTCACCCTCAGTATCGGTACAAACTCATACACCATCGACTGATGACGTATCGTCTACATCTACACCGACCGCTAGGTCGACACATGAGCCTGCACTGACACCTTTAGCTGCGCCGACACTGACACCCACGGCGGCACCAGCATCTGCATCTGTACTTGACCATTTAGTGACACCAGGAGTGGTACATGTATCCACGTCGAGGACAGCACTGACACCGACACCTACACCGATCCCAACATCTACCCTAACACCAGGACTAGTATCGGCAGCTGCACTTGATCATCTACGATCACTGGCACCGGTAGCAACACATACACGCACAAAGACCCCAACATCAACACTCACACCGACATCGGTAGCTACCTCAAAATCGATATGATCTCCATATTCTGCTTAGGGTAATGCTATTTGGGACATTAAAAAGTGAGCTAATTAATTGAAATAATGATATGACAAGTGATAGGATTTTAATGAAATAGTTAAATAATTTTCAGAAAGATTATGTCTGTGATACTCTTTATTTTAAGAATGAATCGAATAAATCTTATAATTATAAAACAAAAATGTTGAGAAAGTAAATGGTAAGAAAAGTTCAAAGTCAAGGTCAACGGTGTACCATAGTATAGACAAATCATACTAGACACCTCAGCCAGTTGTGAAAGAAAAAGTGATGCAATGCAATGCAAGCCTCCTTTCTGGGTCCATTCCAACGACTATTAAATTGTGGGGAAACACCAACACTAATCCAATATTCCATTGTTAGTAAAAACACTTGGCCTCCGCTATGGACAGTCGTGGTAGTATTCCGATTGTGGGGCTTCTTTTAATTTTGCTTATTCTCGTCGACAAGTCACATTCATCAAATATCCTTTGCGCTCAGAAAGACAGAAGAGCCCTTCTAAGCTTTAGAAATGGCCTCATTGATTCATCGGGCAGGATCTCATCTTGGTCGTCGGCGGCACAAGAAGATTGTTGCTGATGGACAGGTGTAATATAAATACCTGAAATATCTTTTCCTTCAAGAGAATTCATTTCATGGTCCTATTCCTGCTACTTTGGGAAACTTATCATCCCTGGTGAGTTTATATCTTTATGACAATAAATTAAGTGGGAATCTTCCAAAGAATTTGGGGCTTCAATCAAATTTGGAGTTGTTAAGCGGTGGATATAATTCCTTAACAGGTGTTATTTCAGAAGAGCATTTTGCTAAGCTCTCGAAATTGGAGCAATTAGATATGTCTGAGAACAATTTTTCCTTCAATGTAAGCTCCAATTGGATTCCTCCGTTTCAGCTTAAATTTATTCAAATGAGTTCCTGTAAAATGGGTCCAAAATTTCCAGCGTGGTTGCAAACACAAACATTTGTTGAGATGCTTAACATGTCAAACACGCAAATTTCAGACATAGCTCCAGACTGGTTTTGGAACTTGGCTTCACGTGTTAAATGGATCTACCTCTCTGGAAACCAGATTCATGGTGATTTATCTTTTATTTTGCTTAATTCTATTTTCATCAATCTAAGCTCTAATCGCTTCGAGGGTGAGCTTCCACATTTGACGGAAAATGTTCTAAATATTGCAAATAATACTTTTTACAGGGACATTTCATCTTTCTTATGCAGTAAGGCGAATAACAAAAATAACTTGGAGGTCCTAGATGCATTAGATAACTTCTTGTCCGGTGAACTTTCTTCTTGCTGGGTGTATTGGCAAATTTTGACACATTTAAACCTGGGAAGCAATAACCTGTCTGGTGGAATTCCTAACTCAATGGATTCTTTAACTGTGCTCAAATCATTGCGCTTGCAAAATAATTATTTTTTTGGATATGTACCCTCGTCATTGCTTAATTGCACATCTTTGGGGCTTATTTATTTGGTGAAAACGAGTTTACAGGAACTATACCAAGTTGGTTGGGAGAAATGAAAAATTTATTGGTTCTCCGGTTGATATCTAATAAATTTAATGGTAATATTCCTTCACAAATCTGTCAACTTTCTTCTATCTTTATAATAGATCTTGCGAATAATAGCCTATCAGGTTTGATACCAAAATGTTTCAGTATTTGAAGCAGGATGGCTGCTGTAGACATTCCAGATTATGCTTATTTTGAGCCATTGGAACATTCTTTGGACTATGGACCGTACAGAGAAAATGTTCAGTTGGTCACAAAAGGGAGAGAATCTGAATACAGTAGCATTCTTAGAATGGTGAGGAGCATAGACCTTTCAAGCAATAACTTATTTGGATCCATTCCTGCTGAGATATTTGATCTTTCTCGATTGCGTTTCTTAAATATGTCTCATAATCACTTGGTTGGAGAGATACCAAAGAATATTGGGGGATGACAACATTGGAATGTCTGGATCTCTCCCATAACAATCTTTCTGGCAAAATTCCGCAAAGCATGTGTAGGGTTGACTTCTCTTAATTGCCTAAACTTAGCATACAATCACTTGTCGGGAAGAATACCTTCAAGCATCCAACTTCAGAGCCTTAATGAAACTGGCTTCATTGGAAATGCTGGACTTTGTGGAGCGCCTCTCCCGATAAATTGCTCGGAAGACGACGAATTTCAAGGTTCAACACCTGTTCACAAAAATTGGGATGAGTTTGAGATGTTTTGGTTCTATATTGGCATGGGAATGGGATTTTCCACGGGATTTTGGGGAGTTTGTGTTGTTCTTTTCTTCAAAAGGAGTTGGAGGCATGCATATTTCAAATTCCTTGATGAACTGAAGGACCGGATCTATGTGGCACAACTGCTTAAGATGAACTGGTTCCGCGTGAAATTCAATGATGTGTAGTGGAATGCATCATCGTCTTCCACAGGTAATGCATTGTAGTTCTTAGCCTTCCAATTAGTGTTTGTTCATGTTGCAACTGCTACTTAGTTTCTATATATATCAAAGTTATGCACTTTGTAATTTGTCATCTTTTGCTACATTAATCCTCATGTAATTTTCAATATCATGGTATCACATACTTCCAAAAAAAAAAAATTATAGTCAAGAATGATTGAAACAACGATACTGCAAAAAAAATAAAAATGCAGTTGAAATTAACAAAGTTTCAAACCTACAAACATGATCATACCATTACCCTTCGTTCGCAGTTCATAATCCAGGAAATAGATTTAAAAATTAACAGATCTAGTGTTACAGTGATCACAGCAGAACTATAGGGCAAAGAATTATTTTGAAATTTTTTAAGATTCTTCATTCTTAACTTACTGGGTGTCTCAGATTCTTTAATCTGTGCCCGCCTTATGCTACACCATTAAAAATGGCTGCTTAGGGCCGAACTATAATTGTTAAACTTATAGTGTGTTTGGTGGGGTGAATAAAAAAAATGAAAGGATAAAAAGTGAGAGTGATACATTTTTTATTCATCAAGGAAAGAATCATTACTTCCCTCCTTTGTGTTTGGTAAGAAGGATGGAAAATATAAATGATTGATTTGTTTGTTTGTTTTTTTTTTTTTTTTGGTATTTGGTAGGATAAAATAGTGAAAAGATAGAAAAATTATAGATGCTTATTTTATCATTATATTTATATATTAAATTAATGTATACAAAATATGTAATAGATAAATATGATATATGCATATATTAAAGGATAAATACTTCAAAACACATAACTAATTTTTCATCCATTTTTCCTCCAAAAGTTGGAGGGATTGATTTTGGTAGTTTGAAGGACAAATACTCCATCTAATTTTTTATCATTCATATTTTTCTTTCTTATCAAACATGATGTTTTATCTATCTCTTCAACTTTTCACCCTTCATTTTTTTTCATCCTACTAAACAAAGCATTAATTTTATTTAAGTCATTTTCTCTCACAATTCTCACAATTAAGTTTAAGTATGTCTCTAAAACTAGCAAAGCATTCCCCTAATGAACAATGGACATGAAACCACGAAGGATGTGATAGAATGTGGATTGAATATTTGTTGAGGAATTTGATAAGTTGAGATACATTGATGGCCATATACTATGTACTTCTTGTGGGATTGTCTCATTGAATTGCATCATAGCCCACCGACATCATTCCCTTTGTTCTTTGCATAGGATTTGAATTGGAACTTTTGAATATTATTTTTCGTTACTGGGTGACGGCTCATCTTTAACAATTTTACAGGTCATAAGAAAGGTTATGGAAATGAGATATACTTTCGAACTGTCTTGAATTTGGCTGTGTGTTTTGTTGGTGATATATGCATTTGTTTACAAAGATTGTCGTCTGTTTTGGAAGTAGTAATGATGTTATGGAGTGGCTTTTGGCATGTAATTCTTGTACTCTTGGGTAAGTCTTAAGTTTATATTTGTGTTGGAATGTACTGGGAGCGATTGTAGCTCGATTTAATTGGCTCTATGAATATTATAGATTTTCTCCAATATGTTTAAATTGATCGTTTTGGAGGTTAGAATATTGAGCATTTTGTGTGCTAACACACACACACACATGTTCTGTTTGAGTTTGTGGATTGATATGCGAAGGATCGGTATTTCTCCATAAGAGATGTACAAATTCTAAGTATAAATTGTTAATCTAGCTTTATATCGGTCATGATTTGGGGTTTCATTTCAATAATTACCCCTTTTTTGTGTATACTAGAAATGTACTACGTGCGTTGCACGTGAATAATTTTCGTATACAAAAATTAATAAAATATATTAGCTATATATGTATTTGAATTAAATATCATGTCAAATTTACAAATTTTAATTTTTTATTGCTTAAGATTATGAAAATTTTATATATTCCCAAAATTCTTTGTTCTAACTATAAAAAAATAAAAAAAATAGTTAAAGTCCTATATTTTTAGAATTTTGTTATTAAGTTTGATTTTTTTAGTGATGTTTGAGAAATTAAATTTCTTGAAATTCATTTAATTAGGATTTCAATTATAATTCATTGAATAAAATAAAAGTAATTGTTAATGTACTAATTACATTTGAACCTTATTGCAATTAAAAATAAGTTAGGTCAATTGGAANAAACAATTTATTGAAAATATAATGATGCATTTTTTTTAAGAGTAATATAGTTAATCAAAAAATAATATTTATACATAGAAAATAAATAATTAAAAGAGATGTTATAGTTATTTTGGAGANTGTACTAATTACATTTGAACCTTATTGCAATTAAAAATAAGTTAGGTCAATTGGAATAAGATTTAATATACTACTCTATAATTTATATTATCAAATATCTTAAAATTCTAAAGAATTCAAGTTTTATTTAGAAATACACTACGATATTTATTTTTATATAAAAAAAAAAAAACTTAGTACAACTTATAAAGTTTAGGATAANAGGGTAAAATAGAGATTTAAAATTTTTTAATCTAAGATTCTTTTATTAGTAGTATAAATAGATAAACACATATACACACACCCTTGTTGGGCATGTGATATCATCTTAAAAAAATGGCATGTGGTCACTTTTGTCAAAAAAACTTGACATTTCATCTATGTAGGGATCAAAGTGACAGAAATTGATTACTTCAGTGATCAAATTGATAAAATTGATACAATAAGAACTAAATTAATAAAAAATACATAGTATTAATTCTTAATTCAATATAACACTGAAAAATAACAGTGTGATGTGATAAGTCGTGCAAGCTACATGTTTCTTAATCTCCATTTCTTAGAGACTTTGTGTTTAGATGAATTTTTCTTAGCAATTTGGTTACGACAAGAACTAAAAATGTAGGGACTAATAATAAGTACTCAAAATGTTGTCTTTTAATTTCACACGTAGCCGTAGACAGTGGGATGGAAATTCTGGGTTTAAATGGAAATTTCATAGCTTCTTGATGAAATACCTCTTTCCACATTGTAGATATATAATTATTTGGACTTTTTACACTTTATATCCTAAATTTTTTTTAAATTCTCATTTTACACTCTTAGGTCCTGTGTTGTTAAGTGGGTTTGAGAGGGATTTATGTCTAGGATTTGGGAAAAATAGTTCAAAGGACCCTCAAATCTTATGTTTGGACTAAAATTTTAATCTTGGGTTACCAAACCTAACCTGCAGCTAGCCCGAATACTAAATTTATTTGTAATGCAATATAGAGTAAATTGACTTCTAAGTAAATATTTATTGAGACTATCGTTATGTTAGTTCTAATTTTTTTTTAGTTGAACCTCGATGGTACAATGGCTATGTTAGTTCTAATTGGGTACATAGTTATATGCATTTTTAGTTTAAATTTATGGAACTTTGATTATTAAAGTTGAATTTTCTTCATCTCTTCATTGAAATTTGTCTTCACGACAATCGTCATATAAGTAACACTTTGTTGAGCATATATGCAAAGTACGGGGGTATCCATCTATATGAGTTTTATCTTTTTCTTTTTTTGGTATTTTTTTCTTCAATCATAATATAGCTATATTAGAATTNTCCCTGTACATTGGTCTAATTACACAGACACCCTCAATTTTTTTGAAATTACACTGACATCCCTTACTATTTACCTACTCATTTCACAAAGTATCTCTATGGTTATCATCGTTATTGGCAATGTCAAAAAAGTGATTATATCATCAACTATTTATACTTTAATACTCATATTACCCCCTAGATAAAATTAGGCTAGCCTATTTATTTTTATATTGTGTTCGTGTTCACATTCATCGTGGAACCTCTCCAAGATAAGACCACTTTGTACCCATTTTTGCGAGAGTAAACCCCGGATACTTGCAATTACCTGCAAACCACATGAATCAATTAAGTCCGAGAAACACCGGCGAGAGTCAAACCCTTGACGTCCTGGGTCTATGATTTGTCTGGGTTCAACTCCACACCGCTGGGCTACCCGTACAGGTGTGTTCGTATTCGTGTTGACTCATATAAACTTTAAATGAAAAAATTTAACGTTAAGATTTAAGTCTAAGGTTCTATTATTACTTAATTGAATCCATTCTCATTCTTTTTCTATAAACTAAAAATTAACTTAATAAACATAGCAATAATAATGAATAAAAATATCTTTTTTATACAATAATTATGTTAGTGTTTAATAATCAACATCAAATAATTAATATTTTATTTTTATAATATCAGTTAAACATATGAATCATTGCAATTCTGTGTTGTTCGTGTTAACATACAAATGAAAAAATAGAGAAAATTCGACACGATCAAATAAAACGGGTTGATCGTGTTAATTTCATGTTTGATGGATTTCACCCAAAAATGACCCATTTATTAGTATTTAAATATATGAGAGAATGATAAGTAAAAAAATGATGTATGATAAAGGTAATTATGAAAAATCGCATTTGTTATTATATTTGTTAAGGGACAAGACCTAACAAGGGGTATCAGTGTAATTCCAGAAAATTGAGGGAGTGTCCATGTAATTAGACTAATCTACAAGACTGTCAGTGTAATTTATCCTAAATTTATTGTGATTGAAGAATTATATTGATATAACATAAATTGATTTTAAAAAATTATATATATGATTATTTTTTATCTTAAAAATGAAAGGGTTCAACTTTTTGATGAAAAATAATATATATATATATATATATATATATATATATATAAGATGATGATTAATATTAGAAAGATGGAGTTTTTTCAAACAATTTATTGAAAATATAATGATGCATTTTTTTTAAGAGTAATATAGTTAATCAAAAAATAATATTTATACATAGAAAATAAATAATTAAAAGAGATGTTATAGTTATTTTGGAGATTTAAATATATAAGGATATGATAGTAATTTAGATATTTAATTATGAAAGGATAAAGTGGTCTTTACAATCTTTTATAA